GTCGGGTCCAATCAGAGCCAGACTTGATATTGGACCGGCCGGCCCCGTCTTCTGGCCATCGCATGCGAGTTGGGACAATTGGCCGTTGCTGCGCCCAATTGTGAGCGATAATGCAATTTGGATATAATGTTCCGCCCAACACCTTAAAAAAACGATTGAACAGACTCCAGAATAGATGAGACCGCAAATGACCTTACCGAGAGAAGTGATAGTGGGCCAAATCGATTTAGTGTTTCATAAACTGTCAGAAAAATTACGACCATTGATGCACTCTCGATCGCTGTATACTTTATATGGGCTGTTCGAACACGGATGGTCACACTCGGTATAGTTGCAATGGTTTATCGGGCTATCCTGATCACACGGAATATTGGTGGTTCAGTGGCCCATATTTCGGTCCGTGCTTAAGGAACGTTGACGTGTAAGCGTATTCAGATTAATCGAACGACGGTAAGCTACGAACTTACCAAAATGTCTGACACCGAGTAAGTTCTCATGCTTGGAGGACAGTCTAGGTAGTCGGGTGCACATATACATCACCACAGAATGACAGCCATTAGCTGGTATAGCATGGCCTGGGCTTGCTCTCCAGTGAAATGAGGTTTCAGCTCCCTTGGACCGCGAAGAACAAACGGTCCGTCGTATACGAGTGAGCTGTGGATTTCCTTATGCAAGGTGTTTAGCATGTTTCGAATAACCTTGATAATTGATTTGTGTTCACTTACTCATGCCATCCATTGCCACGAGTAAAAGCCTACTCTTCGTTGTCGCGCTCGAATGATGAATATCGCCGATTCCAGAGGAAAGCGCGTCTTCCTCAGTCATCATAAAAAACAAAGACAACACTCAATAGGCTGAATTTCGATTCATTTAGGCCTTTCGGTTTTAAACCGTGTCTGATGGTTCCAGTTGCTATAGGTTCGCCCAAGAGAGATAAGGAAAATGAGTGAAAAACAACGACGCCTTGAAGGTAGTGAAATAATCAGCTCAATGATGTTTACGTCTGTTTGTCTGCAGAGGAAAGTCTTCCTCAGTCATCATAAAAAACAAAGACAACACTCAATAGGCTGAATTTCGATTCATTTAGGCCTTTCGGTTTTAAACCGTGTCTGATGGTTCCAGTTGCTATAGGTTCGCCCAAGAGAGATAAGGAAAATGAGTGAAAAACAACGACGCCTTGAAGGTAGTGAAATAATCAGCTCAATGATGTTTACGTCTGTTTGTCTGCATTCGTTTGTAATGGCACAGCTGCCTATTGAATGCGACTGCTTTGATGCAGGATCACGTATAGCTGCGTGACTGAACCATATCAGTTAGGGACAAAATCATTTGTTCCCAGGTTTTCACTTTGGAAGCAGTTGTTGCCTACTCATCTCATTAAGCCTGTAAGGCTCTCCATAGTTCTTCGCCAGGCCAGTGGATCATACGGCTGGATGAAAAAAGCCCTGCAATTAGCTCTACCGCCGAACCGAATCTTCCAAGCTTTCGCGGTTCCAGGTCTTCGTTCGTGCACACTCGCTCACTGAGGCGGGCGACCATCGACTTACTATCTGGGACAGATACATGGCCAATACACTATCCTCATCGGCACTTTTAACAGCGGTTCGAACACCTACAAAAGGGTCTGCTAGTTTAGCTTTCAGGCCTGATGATACAGGTGGTTGAATGTTATAAAGCTGCGATATGTCCCTAGATGTCGGAATGCGACTGAATGGGACGATCAGAGGCCACACAGTTAGGATTACCTATTGAAGTATAGGAGGGACATTTTGATGTGCTTCAGGACAAGTTGTTTTCCATGATGAGGTAGCAGGAAATCTTCGACAGAATGGCCGGATTAAGTGACTGACAACGTGTAAGATCAGATCTCCACAGAAACGTGCAAACCACTTCCACGAGTAATTCGTGAAATTCGCATTGTCTTGCGAATGTTGTATTTTTGAACATGCTTGATCATTCGGGAGAACAATGTAGCCCAGGTACTTAGTCTTGATTAGGCTGGAGTGAACGTCAATGTTTGTGGTCAAGAGTTTCCATGTTTTCAGCATTTGTTGCGGGTTCCAACAATGGGGCATAGTGGCCAATAAGATCGGCGATAGGTTGCGTCTTTGTTAGATCATTGCTTAGGACAACGATATCGTCAGTGTAGTCCACGTTCATAACCCGCCCACTTGTACGTTCGTGAAATTGCTGGGGGAAGACGAAGGCAGACAGCATTATCGAACACCCGAGTCCAAAATTGTCTCCGCTCAAAGACTTGAATGCTGGTTTTTGTACCTGGGTAGTAGATTTTGATGAGATTCAGTAGCTCATCTGGAGGTCCGTGAGTTTCATAAGTGAACAAAAGATTTCATATTATCTGAATCAACCACCACTCGGAAGTCAAGGAACCAATCAGTGGTCAGTTGCTGAAACGTGAGGTGGTCGGAGGTACGACGTAATGCCCAGGCAGTGCGCTATATCAACTGATACGATCGACTAGCCCTAGGAAAGCAGCGGTCAGTAAAAAGATAAATGAAAAAAGGTGCCTCATTAATTCACTCGCAAAAATGTCGACTGGATGGATAGGCCGAACACTTCGAGGATCAGTCGCTGACTTCCTGAGACAGCTTCCGGAGATAATGCACATGGGCGAGTAGAATGTAAGGAATAAGGAATAAAGTACGGAATATCCGTATTGAAACGTGAAAAGGCACCAGGACCGTACGGTCTTTATCCAGCCCTCTTCAAAGAAGGCGGAGAACCTCTGGTGATCCATCTAACAAAGCTTATTCGTGTGATGTGGAACGAAGAGTAAGTGCCTGCAGAATGGGGAGTGTCGACAGTTATTCCTATCTTCAAAAATGGTACGTGAAAGCTGTGTGAAAACCACCGTGGCAGCAGCCTAGTAGCTGTGGTATCGAAGATGCTCTCAGGTCTTATCCTTCGAAGGTTGACTGAACATGTAGAGAGACAGATCTGCGAAAGCCAAGCTAGGTTCTGTACTGCAAGAGGATGAATTTTCACCCTCCGACAGACTATGGAGCAGCGACTGCTTCCAGCAACGAACAGTGATTGTGTTGCTTGACTTGGGAGCCACCTTTGACTCTGTGGACCGTCAGGCACTATGGTGGTGAAGCAATGATGTACCCCATAAATTCTTCGCCCTCCTTAAGGCGCTGTACACCAAATCCCGCGGCCGTGTGAAGGTCCACGGGAAGCCCTCTTCTGAGTTAACCACATCAAGTGATGCCGGGCAGAACTGCCCTCCTTCACCTTTCCTCTTCAACTTCGTCATTGGTACGATAATGGAAGAACCAGTCCGCTCACAGATATCGAGTACTTAGGACCATCACTCTTCTTGGGTCTGATGCCGTGGTAATGCAAACGATATTAAATAATCTTAATAATTATACCTCGGTTCGGCATGCGTTTGGCAAATGCAAAGTGTAAAAAGCTATTGCAAGACTGCGTGGGATTGAACCCTAGTCTCATGCTTGCGGATGAGACGATTGACAAGTTTGTCTACCTGGGTCAGTATCAGTCGCGGTGGCATCCCGAAAGGCATCCAGATCGGGAAGTCCGGAGCAACGTTCGTGAACCTGCTTCACCTGTAGCGTAGGTGTGGCATAAGTTTGTTCGTCAAGTGTCGAGTTTACAATGCTGCGGTGCGCTATACGGATCAGAAACCTGGCTGTTGCGCACCAAAGACGTCAAAAGACTTTCCGTGTTTGACCATCGATGCCTTCTAGCATTACCCGAGTCTGGTGGAAACACCGGGTCAACAATGCTGAAGTACATTGAATGGTATTCGAAAGAACTAACCCTCGATAGGTGAACTGATCACACTCCATAGGTTGAGCTGGCTTGGCTGCGTGCTCCGTATGTCAGTCAACTAACGTCCTCCAAGGTTTCTTTTCGCACAATCATGCGAAGGGTTGAAACGAGCCAAAGGAGGTCAAACAATGACTTGTGCAACATGACAAGTTGCAGATATTCCTCTGACAGAATCTGTTATTCGCACTGATTAGTTTACTGGGAATTACTACGAATTTCCGAAAACGATGCCTACTCTTTATTTCTGTTTAATTTTGTAATTAATTGGAAAACTGAATGGACTAAACAGCCTGATGTTCAAATCTCTGAGAGCAAGAATATGGTAGACATTATTTTCATTTTCAAAAGGGGGAAAAAAGACAAATTGCAATTGAATGCCTGACAGTTACCTCATACGTTTTGGCATGATGTCTGACCTTGCAACGTGTGAAATCACGTTGCACTCAGTCTCTGAACAACTGTAGTTAAAGGAGAAGGACTAGAGTTGATAACTGACGGTAACGTGGTGGATAAAGTAAGCGCACAAATCTCAAATGCTAGAATTACGTTTGTCCTATCTGTGCATCTCAAAAGTTGCGTGTATGAGACCACAGTTTGAGTGTTGCAAACCTGCGAACGGATGATCTAAAAAATCTCCAGACCTTCGATGACCAATGTCGCAGAACCATGGCTAAAGTATACTGGCACCAAGATGTACCAGCCTCGTCGGTTTATTCATGCGCAACGCGGAGTGAGCTCCCGTAAACCATTGTGCCAGATTCGGAGTGGAAAACCTAGAGGCATGATATGGCCGAAGGGAACAAAAAACGTCATGAGCTGCACAACCGAAACGCCCTGAAAGATTAACCACGACTGCTTGGCCGGGACGCTGAAAGACAAGGCAGTGAACTGGAATGAGTGGCCTTTGTGCCGTCAGTTTCTATCCAGGGTATCTGACTGAGCGTTGGAATCGTACCATAACTGTCTATGACAGACCAGCCATTATTGCTTCCTGATATTTCTAGTCAATTTAGGGTCTTACCTAAATGAACTAACTTGGTTTTAGGAAATTAAGGCACTAGTGTTTTAGCTTGGTGTTACTAACAGTAATGATAAATTTTCAAAATTGGGATGATGCTCCAAACGTTTAAACGGCAGTGTCCATCAACAAAATATGGGTAGTGGATTATGTGGATTAAGCTTACCGTGGCACCCAGTGTGTTCATGCGCACGCTGTCCATCTAAAAACGTGCGCACATCTCCGTTCAGCACGATCGGTATGGGGTCACCTGTGATCGCATGTTTTACTGAGCTCATCACGACTTCTCGAACCACATCCCACGAGGCTGGGTCGCTACTGCGTTGAGAAGGAGTTCGAGCGTGTAGTGTGATCCAGTCTACCCCCATAGCGGCCAGGCGCCTAATCAATTCGACTGTGACACTGAGCTGAGTAGAAAGAAGGTAAGGCAGTTTAATGGTCCAGCGAAATAAAGCATGCCGACTTACCCGAGAGGAACTGGAGTCGCCACAGGCACGGACCTCTACGGGCACTATGCGCAGCTTAGCACTGACCGAGAAGGGGCCCTCTTGTCTGGCCATATTTGGGGTGGAATTGGAGCACTCGCATTCCTCTAGTGCGGAGTGACCAGTACTCCAGCAGTTTGGTTTAAGAGCACTACTACGCCATCGGGGAATAATGGTCCTAGCTGCTCGAACCAAAGCAGCTATAAGCTCTGGTTTACGTAAAAGAGCTGATCCAAGACCGGACTCCATCGCCCATCTATACGTTGTTAGAGGAACACAGTAAGAGAACGCAACAGCAACGTATTGACCGTGTGTCCCTGAATAATGCGGAACATCTGCAAACATCAACTTTGAAGAACGAACAAGGGACTAGTGAACTGTACAGCGATCAACATAACACGAAAATGTCCGATTACTTACGTACTCTTTAACATGGTTTCGATCCTGGCGATTACTAGCTGATCAAATATTTTGGTTGAACCATCATATATGTCATTTAGCGCAGTCATGCAATGGTTCGGGATGAAGGTTCGATTGACGTCACTGCTGGGTTTATATGTATAATTAGAGGTGATGCATCGCAGGTTTCAATGAGGACTTTATGTAATTTTTAATTTAATCCCTCATCGTCATCATCATCATTATGACAGTAGAACATCAGCACTCAACACCGATGTTTCGCTACCGTACCTGATATGACGTGATAGTATTTTTAGTCGTAGAGATCAAGGTTGTACGCGGGCTCGGACACCGCCAGGGTGACCGATCTTAGACAAGAGGACGACCAGGGTCCTCAAAATCTCGGCTGAAAGAGAGCGGCGTTTGGCGTTCGTCACACATGTTCGAGCCCCTAACCTGGAGAACCAGGAGAGTGTGTTGGTTAGACCTATAGCCATCGACCAACCTGCTATGAGACTGAGTGTCACATGGATACCTTCAGGTATAGCTCAAGGGATCACGGAACTTAATCCACAAGATGCGTTAAAAAAAATCGACTTGAATATAGGATTTCAATAGAAAAAAGCATTCGTTCGAAATTTTCAGCAAGATTGCCATGGTATCGTACAAGCTGAAAAATTACAAAGTATGGAAACAATTGTTATCGAGACTATGTAACTGCTGCTTCATACTATATAATGGTATGCCTCCAAAATGAGTGTTGAATTACGTATGAAAACAATAAGTGACGGGACTGAAAATTGATAATTCTGAAGCGATAGATCAACTAGATACTTTGATCTGCTGAAGTGACGGGTGGGCTGCAGATGGTGAACTCGGGAGTGAATGTTGTATAAGAGCTCCGAGATGCTGTAGCACGGACAGTTATCCTGATTCGTTAAACGATAGGTAAGAATCTGGCCGTCCCTTCTAGATATGAGATCAAAATTCTGGAAGGCTGACTGGAGTTTCTCAAATCCTCAACGAAGAATCCATTGCACATCAGGCTGAAAATGAGGTCCACCCATCAAACACTGAAGCAACACGCGTTGAAAAAGCTGATTTCCTAGGAAGTATGCATAAGGCCGTCGGTGGTATTAGGTACACTGACGATGATATTGTTCTTCGTTGACAAAGTATAGGCGCTTGCATCGCTGTTTCCCGGAAAATCGCAACACAAACCTGACTTACAGTAAGCTCTAAAGTGGATAGCGTCAGAATAGCACTTTACGCCAAAAGAATGGCAGCACTCCAAATAAAATCTGTCAGTCTTTTCGACAGAGCCAGAAAATGTTGATCAAAAACGTCGGTTCTGAGATATCAGCTGTTACTTAACCATAACTGAGTCACTAACTCATACATACTGGCAACAAGAGTAGGATGCACGATGCTTCTCGCGTTACTGTACACTAATTCTGGCAAACACGACTTCACAGGAACCGGGGTGTTTAAGAAATCATTGCGCCCACTGCGACTCCTCAGTTTCCTTACGGCGAGATTATGTGAGACATCCGGAAACCTAGGTCAGTTAGCAAGACCTAACGTGGCATCACAGATAGGATGCCTTCTGTGATTCACTTGAGTATCCTGCTAAAAATTAAGTGTGCAAATGAGTGTATTTCGTGAACATTTTATCTCTACCACTTCTCACATTACGACATAGATTTCATTTGAAGTATGAAAATGGCGAACAACACTTCAATGCAAGTTTCTTCCATATGTTCACCAAGCCATCTGATAAGACCAATTGAACCGAGAAAACCGCTAATTTAGAACTACGTACTCAAGGCTTTCTAGGAATCATTGACCGTCACGAAGGTTTATTTACTTCCACGACCTACTGAGCTACACTGGGGGGGGGTGAGGCGCGACACTCGCAGAGTCCGTCATGGTCATTGGTTAGAGGTCTGGCTAATACAGTCTCCTGGTCCTCCATTTTGGGGGTTGGAACATGTATTTTCTGCAAAAATTGAAACGCACTTGCATTTCCCGCCAAGCACTGCCGCATCGTGGTCAGGCTTTTGACTCAAAAGTTTTGTTTGAGGATCTCAATCGTCCTCCTATCTGGCTGTGGTTACCCTGGCAGTATCCCAGTCCACGTACAACTGTGAATTGCACAAATACAAATAAACTGATGACACATCGGCCGTCGTATGGTACCATCATCCGGGTCATTTTACTTGCTGCATACAGCAGGGTGGGTAAGTGAAAACGGGCTACTACAGCATCATCATCATCATCAAAGACACCAACGCCTGTGTTGACACTGGCGCCATCTGCGACCAGCCACGCTTCTGAGGCATCGGTGGTCGAAAACCTGAAGACGCCTCACATCATCTGCCCGCCCAGAAGTATGTGGATATAGGGATCGGATTATGTTTACGAACTTCTGGGGCATACCCAGTTGAGCAAGTGTAGTTAACAGAACTGATCGATCAACAGAATCAAACGCACCCTTAAAGTCAAGGAATACCAGAATTGTGGGTCGTCTGTACATGTGGCGTTGCTCCAGCACCTGACGGAGTGTGAAGATGTGGTCAACGCAGCCTCTACTCGGTCGAAATCCTGCTTGATTCTCATGAGTCAAGACTTCGCGTGCCACCGTAATGCGACGAAGAATCAATGATGCCGGAAGCCTTGTCACAACAGAAGTCCAACTAACATCTCTGTGGTTGCTGCATTCACTGCGAGTACCCTTTTTGAAAATGGGCACCACTACCGATTCACCCCAGTTGTCTGGTACGGTCTCCTTCTCCCAGATAGCCACAAACAGGCTAGACAGGCACTGGCTGAGGAATCCACCACCACCCTTGAAAAGAGCAGGTGGAAGTTCATCAGGACCAGCAGCACGATGACGCTTGGGTAGAGAAAAGCATTCGGATACGTCTGAGACTGAAGGCGGCTCCGTATTCACGGTCCACCTTTCTGTTGAAGGTTAGGTTTATGGATTGGAGGTGGCAGATGGCCAGCTGAATTGCTGCTCTACTACGGCAGCAAAGCAGTAGGGTTGAACACTCATGTCGTGCTGTCGTCGATGGTGAGGATGACTCGTAGAAAAATATGTTGGGATTATATGTTGGCATTACCACAGGATTCAGTTCCATCCCATCTAACAGAGAAACGATACGACACGCAACACACAAACAGAGAAACGATATGACACACAACACACAAACAAATAATCTAGAAATTGGGTAAGCTTACTTTTGTGGACAGCCACAGTTCAAGTCAATGCCTTCACAGTAGGGAGCCAACATTTCTGTAGCGACTGACAACTCGCAGGGATCTTTGGATGCAACCTGAACTATTAGGGGTCGATCAGCTGTAAGTAGATCACATTGACAAATAAACGTTTCAAAATAGTAAAGATGCTACCGGTAGGGAGTTAGGTATGGGCACCAAGTTCGTTAAACAGGATTGGGTAACTTATAGATAAACACGTTCGTTTACCCGTAAAAGTGAGGGGGTGAAGCAATGGCTGGGAAATACTTTCAAGTTCGAGGTATCTCAGTGGTTAAGGGTCGAAGCTACTGACGGGTCCGGACACAACCCTAGTTTTTCGACTGCTCCTGTCCAGGCTTCAGCAAACTGGTGGTTCCCTCTATTCGCAAGGTAAATATGCTCCGAAAGGGTGCTATAACTGGATTATTATTATTATTTATTATTAGGTACATAACATCAGATACTTAATTTGGATTCGCAGTGGTTTAATTTGACCATGACAAAAACAGGTCTATCTCAATGCCCCCTGTACGTACTTCTCTTCCAAGATAAGAAAGTTTAGAAAATCTCACAATATGACTCCTGACAATTTCCCAGGTTTAACTGTGGTGATCTACTCTATCTGAATTAGCGTATTGAGTTCTCCTGACTTTATATTAAATCTTTCTCCAATGGGCACCTCTAGTTTTAGCGTAGTCGGAGGAGCATTTACTGTGTCGCATGAAGCAGCTTTCCCGTTGTCTCTAAGAAGAGAGTTATCAAACTCGACTAAGGATCACTGGCCGATCACGCCAAAACTTGGTTCCAGCTTACTCCCCCGATAATCGGCTCCTGTCCTACGTTTTCCTACGAACAAAGCTGAGCCATTAGGTGGACAAATAAAAGGGACTTCAAAACAAGCTGGAACAAGTGAGTAGAAAACCCCAGCACAATTGAAAACGTATGTCGTACCGAGGCCTCATATTTCCCTTAGTAGGAAGCATCAGTAGCCTTGGATAGTGACAAAAGGCACTGGATGTTGCTGCGATCAACGTGTGTGTATATTGTTGACATACCACTGAAATTTTTGGTGGAGATTTCGTCTTGTAAGTAAAGCCAATCTATGCTGAAAAGCCGAGGAGCACCTTATTGGGGATCACACTGCTGCGTATCCCACGAGACTCCAGGGAGTCTGGAACTCGCGGCTAGTAGTTTGAACACAACCATTTGGCCACGAGCAACTGACAAGCATTGCGATTAACTCGCACACAGAGTAAACTTTATCTTTATTCCTAGTGAATGTACTGTGGATCGATATGTGCTCCAGAGATGTACAAAATACACGAAGGAAATCCAGTGATAAGGATAAGCGGTGCAACGGAAGATTATAGATTTTGGAACAATGGTAAAGTCAGACACTCCACCTTTGTTGGCGTGATCGCGTTCGTAATTCCAAAATAACTTAATATTGGAAGATTCCAGGGCTACTGGGACTAGCTTATTTGCTCTGAAATTGTCGACTGCCTTATATTTTATAAGTCTCATAGGGTAAAAATATTCATATGGAATGCCACTAAGTTACGCGCGTCTACCTTCCAACATAATTCCAGATTAACATCCAAATGACCAAGTTAAAAAGTGTACGTTGGGAAATGTTAGAACTACGAAACGACACATTGATTCTTAAAAACTTAGATGATACACACGGTGTAGCCCATTATCCATTGAAATGACCGGGTTCGGGGATGTTTAATTCAGTGATTCGAGCTGGAAAGTTCAGCTACAACAAGTTTTTTCCGTTGCATACCCTAAGAATCAATGTGTAATTTGTTAAGGTGCCATTTTGTGTTCACGTACTATATTCCATTCACTGAAATTGGCCAGACTGGAACTTCTCCGTGGTCCAAACTATACATGGGGGCAGTTGGTTCATTCATCCGATCTTTCATCACCCAGGGATCACTGAACTTCATGTGCACACGGAATTAAGCTGTCTTCGATTGCTTTCATTGGTTCAACTTTTGGTCGGTCACTATGCCAAAAGATTGACGCTTCCCAGAATTCTGTTCAAACGCTCGGTATATATATATATGATCGGAAGAGCGTC